AAATTATAAAAAATTAATAAAATTTTTGATAATTTTTTTTTTATTTATGTAGCGAAAGAAAGAAAAAAGCTTTCAACCTTCGATAGCTCAGTTGGTAGAGCGGTGGACTGTAGAGGCAACAAGTAATAGTCATCCATAGGTCGCTGGTTCAAATCCGGCTCGAAGGAAACTTTTTTTTTTGTAACTTTTTAATGTGCGGAACTATAATACTATTACTAATATTTAAATACATATTTTAAATTAATACATACAACTTGGTATGAAAAATTTTATATTAAAATTACTGTGCATATTTTTTTCTTTATTTTCTTACATATTAGTATAATATACTATTTTATTTGTTATACACGCTTAATTAATTTTAAAAATTATTAATTGCAGTAATTGGGGGTTTTATTATTTTTTACCCTACTATTGGATTTTAGAAGGACCACGCTCAACCATTATTGTGGTAAGTATTTTAAAACACATTATTATTATTATTAATGTTACAAAATTTAACAAACTATAAATTCAAAAGTCTCAAAAAAAAATCTGTTTTTCACCTTGCCCGTGTTACTCTCTTAGGCTTATCAAAAAATAATCTTTTGATGTTTGAAATTAAACAAACATAATTTTCTCTATTTACATTCTTCTTTCAGCTTAAATCAAAAACATCAATAACATTTTTTAAAAACAATAGTATATTATGTTATTAGAAGTAAAGTATTCAGATCGAGAGTAAATATCAACACTATAATTATCAAGTAAATGAACAAAATAATCAGGAAATTTATTGTATCAGTGTTTATTGATTTAACTAGTGCAGTTAGTAGTGCAAAAAAGACGAATTATTCTTTTAAACTTGTGTTTTTGTAGAGTTTTTTTAATGTTGGATATATCTTATTTTATAAAAAATTAAAACTTGCGCTGTGAAATAATTAAAACAATAAATTCTGAAAAATTGGCAAATAAAGTTTGAAATACGCATTTTTTGTTTATTTCAATAGAATTAGAGCATTTTTCAGCGAGTAACTTAATTCACGAAAAATTACAAAACAAAGATGAAAATTGCAAAATTATAACTGGAAATGCATTATTTGTGCTTTTTCAACGAATTTGAAGTGTTTTTTGGTAAAAAAACTTGAATTTTTAATTTAAAAAAATTGTTCAAAATAAACCAAAATTCCTCTATAGTCGATACACCTTTTTGTCTTAAGTTTTGCATAAACAGTAATCAACTTACCAAAATCACAAAAAATTACCGAAACAAAGATGAAAAATGCAAAATCATAACTGTACTTTTTTCAATAAATTTGAAGTGTTTTTTTGGTGAAAAACTTAAACATTAGAAAGATTTGTTCAAAATAAAGCAAAATTACGTTTTTTTTGCTTAATTTAATAAGTTTAGAATATTTTTTATCAAAAAAATTTGGCATAAACAATTTTTAAAAATTGGTTAATTAGTATTTTAAAACATATTCTTATTATTATTATTAATGTTACAAAATTTAACAAACTATAAATTCAAAAGTTTCAAAAAAAAATCTGTTTTTCACCTTGCCCGTGTTACTTTCTTAGGCTTATCAAAAAATAATCTTTTGATGTTTGAAATTAAACACACATAATTTTCTCTATTTACATTCTTCTTTCAGCTTAAATCAAAAACATCAATAACATTTTTTCAAAACAATAGTATATTATGTTATTAGAAGTAAAGTATTCAGATCGAGGATAAATAACAACACTATAATTATCAAGTAAATGAACAAAATAATCAGGAAGTTTATTGTATCAGTGTTTATTGATTTAACTAGTGCAGTTAGTAGTGCAAAAAAGACGAATTATTCTTTTAAAGTTGTGTTTTTGTAGTTTTTTAATGTTGTAAATTTTTTTATTGTATAAAAAAGTAAAACTTGCACCGTGAAATAATTAAAACAATTTAAAGTTAATTTTTGATTTTTAGAGCGACAAATTTTTAAAATACATTTTTTTACAGGTTAACCTTCTATTTTTGATTAACATCATCCGCGTTTTAATAGTAAAACTGAGGGAAAGTCACACAAGTGAAATAGAACAAGTGAGGTGAGAATTTCCATTACTATCAAAACATGACTTAATTTTATCAATCATCCCTAAAATTAGCAATTATCGAGTTCAGTGTTAGCTATCTATTTATTTATAATAAATTGCAAAATACAATATCGTTGACCACAATTTAATCCTGCTTAATAGAAAAGCTGTCCGAGCTGCTATATTCCTGTTGCCATTAATGGGAATCGCCAATATTTTATTCTGGATGGGATATCGATTTACTCAAGCATGGCAGCTGGCTTTATGGTCGTACACCAGTTACTTTCTCAACACTTTTCAAGGATTTTTCGTGGCCATATTATATTGCTTCTTAAATGGAGAAGTCCAAACCGCTGTAAAGAACAGTTTCTATTTACACATGTCTTTGAGAAACCACGACTATACTCCTTGCAGGAACTTAACGTTGATATCGACAGCTCCCGACCCAGACCAGCACATTGAAAAGTAAGTATCAAGTTAATTTTTTCGAAAAGCAAATAAACTAATCTCAAAATGATTCGACAATGTTTGTAAGAAATGTAAATTACGGATAATTTTATCTCTTCAAGTTTTTTTTGGAAACCCTTTGAAATTTTATATCAAGCAAAAAAGTTTGTAATTACCTGCTGTGGGTTTTGTTCAAAAACATAATTATGTATTTTCTGTTTTTCATTTACACTTCAATCAATGACAAAGTGAACACGAATTTCGCTCAGTGCAGACAGTAATTTCGCGTAGAAGGCCCGAAATTACGTCTGAAATGCAGCGATTTTCAGAGACAAATTTATAAAATTTAATAGATTCTATCATAACAAAGCTAATTTAAGTCTAAAACACATTATTTATTATTAATTAAATAAATGTAGAAAATTTTTCAGCAAGATAATTATAAAATTTGAGAGATTTTGCAAAAATACTGTTGAAAAATATGTAAATTATGCCTGAAATACGTTTTTTTTGGCTTATTTTAAAGAAATTACGTTTTTTACAAAAAAAATACTAAAACAAAAATAAAATTGCAAAATTATAACTGAAAATGTGTTACGAGTATTTGTACTTTTTTCAATAAATTTGCTGAAAAACTTAAAAATTAATAAAATGTTTTTTAAAATAAAACAAAATTAAGTTATTTTTCTGGTTAATTTAATAAATTTAGAATATTTTTGGCAAAAAATTAAAAAAAAATTGCATAAACAATTCTGAAAAATTGGTAAATCAATAAAATCGAAGCATTTTGCGGCGAACAACTTACTAAATTCACAAAAAATTACCCAAATAAACATGAAAATTGCAAAATTATAAATGGAAATGCATTATTTGTGCTTTTTTCAATGAATTTGAAGTGTTTTTTGCTAAAAAAAATTAAAAATTAAAAATATTTTGTGTAAGAAACAAAATTAAGTTATTTTTTTGCATAATTTAATAAATTTAG